AGAGGGAATGTCAGACTCTTACTGACTAAAAACCACCCCGTTCCTTCTCCTGTACGTCGAGTCGGAGCCCCGGTTAACCGTTAGTGACTCCAAATCGGCATCGGCCCTGTTGGGCCCCATCTGTGGTGGTCTGACGGCTCTTTGAGACCTTCCGTGACTTAGGTACATAATTTAAATGAGATATGGTATTAGCCTGTTATCATTATGCCATTCACAATTCCTATAATACTTTGCCTGATCTGTAACTGAACCCAAAACGGCTGTGGTCACCGAACCATCAAGGTAGTGTTAAGTCAAGAACCAAGAACAGAGAATTAAATACCTTAACAATACACCCAGAAACTGATAATGACTATTCTACTAACTAGAAACTTTAAGAGAAAGTCGTAGTTCTTGTAGTTACAAGTTTTCCTAGCAGAAAAATAAAAACAAGAATAAACAAAATGGCTGGTCAGTTGCTGACTTTGATTGAGCAAATAAAAAAGAAACATTAATCAGATCAAGGCAGTTTGAAATAGAAGAACCGTGTTTGATTCCGTTCGTTTCTGTATTTCTGCTCGTAGCGTTAAGATAAATCGAGTCTATAAAAACTTTTATTTTTTTCCTTTTCCCTCTCTGCCCGAGGTTGTAACAGCTTGCATTTATTTTGCGAGAGATTTAAGAGGATGCGGTGTACAGACAGCAACGCTAAATAATTATGTGTATACCAGTCCATACTTTCTCATGAAAATTGATAAATGGATTTTCGAAGCAATGTGTTTGGCTTAGACATATTGAATGGTGAATCTATTTTGTGCTAGTGAAATACGATCTTGTTTGAGTTTTGTTTAGGAATATGATTTTGTTGGTTTCCAGGAGCTTTGAATTTGTCCACGAGGTGAAAGGACCAGCTATTCAGTGTTGGATCCAACTGAAAAAGCGTCGACATTATGGTATGTATATAATTATTAGCATGAACCATGGACCAATGGATGATTTTAGTACTATAGGTATAGTAGCATCTACTCACCTTTTCTCATGTAATACGACTGTAATCGGAAAATCGGACGTAAGGTTCTTATACATATTTTTTTGATATGGAATAGGAGGCAAACGAGCAGACGGATCACCTGATGGTAAGCAATCAGCGCCGCCTATAGATACCGCTACACCAGTGAAGCAAAATGTGCGATGCTAGCTTTTTAAAAAAATACGCTCTTATTTTGAATGTTTGAAGGTTGTATCGATTCGGAAATACCTCTAACGGCAAATTATTTCACAGTTTTGCTATGCGAGGCAGAAATCTATGAGCATATTATGCACTAAAACATCCTAATCGACTGCTAAATTTATCCATTACCATTGTGATTATTTGTGATTGATGATTAGCCTTTTTCGTAACCGATAAAAACGTTATATGTATTTGATTAAATAATCTCGTGTTCCTGAAATCGAGGGTTAGGAAACTACCTACTTGCGACCTTTAGCTCGAAGTCGACCTTTCCTCTAATGTTATATTCCTTCGCTTCTCCTCGGGTCGCCGTCTGAGTAGAAATATTAGTGAGCACACCTGTTTTATTTCTTTTTTTCTACTTCCTGTAGGGAAACAAATATGTTTATTTAGTTAACGTAGCGAGGACATTTGTTTTCCGACAATGCGTCATTATTCACGCAATTTTCGTGGTGTCGTTTATTGTAAGAATCTCTTCAGTATTTTAGGAATATCCAACGTCGAAAAGAAGATAAAGTGTAGGTAGATATTATTTATCCATATGCCAAGTGAAACTGTTGAAGTCGTACATCCACATACCAACATTACATAAAGTAACATATTCATCAAAATCAGTGTTTCTATTCACAAATAAATCTCTAAGGTTCATTCAAATTACTTCTCATTTATCCGGGTCAGACTGCAAAACCCTAAATTTCGTGGCTTATCTGTAGCACTTCATGTGGACATTTCGCTCGAATAACACTTTAATTGCATTCAATCTGCGCCTATTGTATATAACCGCGGCCGTTAACATATCAAATTGTTTTATCCTCAGTGTTTCTGTTTAAATGGGAGGTAATTACAAACCACAACACGCATTACCATCGCGCGTAACGTCCCGGGTAATGGGATGGCCTCATAGAAAGGAGTTACTCCTACCATCCATCAAGGGGATTAGCAAGAGCAGGGTAGCTGTGTCGTCGCGCAAACCTTATGGGATTAACCGGCTGACTGCGACCTTTGCAGCGTGTTCAATTATTCCGTTAAAGCCGAGTGCCCGCGCGAAACGCGGCAGCCATATTTTATTGAAGTAGATTTTTTTCTTGTTTAACCAACACTCCGACGGTGTAGTTGAGACGGCTCCCGTATACACAGTGCATTCGTTTTTTTATTTTTTTGAAGTAGGCATAGCGAGGAAATTTCAGAGAAGTTAGACGGCTCGACGGTAACGAAATTAATTTTTAGATTCATGCTATTAGTCTTATGAACAGATGTACTAACAAACTAGTTAGCAACTCGTTAGATTAGATTCTTAACGACCCCAACAAACAGAAGAAAAAAACACAATGCAAGCAAGGTAATTACACTGTAATGAGTCCAAAACAAAAAGTTTTCAGTGCAACCATACACCGGTTAATTAGGTAGATATTTGTTTGTGCAGCTGAAAATTAATGAAACAGTAGCAGCTGCTGAAACGATTTCATGAGTGTACATCTCGCAGCACATTTAATTGTTATTGTTGTTAATTTTGTTTTAGATTTTGTTGCAAACATTGTTATTGCAGACTGTTAAGGCGGCGTGGCGCGCAGCCCGCCATAACCTCGTACCCGAAATTTAATTTGACACCTCCGGGGTGCGTGACTAGACTAGGGGAACAACAACAATGAAACCAACATGAGAAGTTCAATATGTATATTTTACACATAAATTCTTTGTCATTAAACACTTCCCCATAACGTCTTCACTAATTTGACATAGATTTTATTACACCGAAACATTCACTAATTAATTGAATTCCAATTTCGTACTTAACCAAATATTTGGTTGAATATTTGGTCAGAATTATATTGTCTTGGGTCAATACGTCCCACGTTACACTAGTGTATAGTATTAAAAATGCAATTTTATAATATGATCGCTTCCATGAACATTCAAATCTTAATTTTATCGGCTATATGACATTCTAGTATCTATTGTAATATTCAAACCTTATAATAATCATAGGAAGGTAATATTGATATTCCGAAGTAGCAGATAGCTTTGGCTCAATATAGACATCACTTGAATATTTGCTTACAAAGTTATTAATGTAAATTTATTCTATAAAGCGACAGACAATGTTATCTATTACACTGATTTTAACAGGACACTCGAGTATATATTAATTAGTAAGAATTCACTAATAAATGCTGCCTTAACTTGTAAATCTACTCCAAATACGGTTCATGTATACATCAGTATAAAGTGGCCTTGTATGTGTAAATGTAAGTACATAAACAGTTTTGTAAATCACTCTCCTCTCCATAGAAAACGTCGACGTCAAAACTTTAAAGCGCGGAAGCAGCATTTCTGTTAATTCAAAAACCGGTTCAAATCCAAATACTTTTATGTATGTAACGTGATAAAATTTCAGTCGTATTCAAGTAATAGCTACTAAATTATACAATAACTATAATGAACTATGATAACTTATATAAATTATTTACATTTGCTTAGTAAACGTAAGAGAACCACAAATGCACCATCATAATTATAAGCCCATTCATTCCTATATACACATTTTATTATAATATTATGATCGCTCTCAATTTACGAATACTTTTATTAAATACTTTCCATTGCTTATAATAATGATAGAAAGACCTTGGTTGGAAGTCTCGATAATTTTAACGATGGAAATCAGTCGCAATGCTGTTATCATTAACAGATTTTAACCTGTATTACGAAACATTAAGGTTAAAAACTATTAAAGATATTCACAACTTAGCGGCTGATTTTTGTCGTTATTTATGTATGTCGAGACTGCCAGCCCTGTTCAGCCGATAGCAGCTTGCTTGCTCAAGCGGCCATTTCCTAAAATACTTAATTCAAATCATTGTAATAGTTTGAAATATTCAATGAACTTAGTATACTGGGCTGCAAGCGTTCTCGATCACTTCAGATAATCTTCTCACTCCAGAAATCCTTAGTTATAGACCAATTAATTTGACACGAATGAATAACTCTACTTACACAAATTAATGCTTTTTGCTTTTTACAATTTATACTTTTTCAGTCGAAGATATTTAACAACTGAACGTCAATTTGGGTACTTCAGTGGTAACAACAATATATATTTACGTTAATATATAATAATCTTTAAGATACTCATAACATGGAATGTATAGGAATTAAGATTTAAAGTAAATACACCTCTTGTAAATAATAATTTGGAAAGGTATATTCTGAATTAATTTTAGTACTTTGGTTTTAAAAAAGGCACAAGGGACCCAAAATTAAGTGGAGTTCAAGATTCATTCATTCATTATAATTAATCTAAACAAACTTTAACAACGGTAATTGTAGAAATAAATACCTATACGACTTAACGTCTTACTTATATATTTTTTATTATAAAATATTATATATTTCATACACTAATTTATATTTCAGATGAAATTATAATTTGCAATTTCGATTAATATAGGGACAGTTTCAATTTATTACGTAAATACGGCATTATAATTATCGTTTTAAAATTTGTTTAATTAGAAGATTCTAAAAATGATGGCAGTGAATATCTTCGAGTTATTTTAATAACATCTTATAATAGGTATTACGTTCCAACGAATCAGTGCAAATTCTTCATATTATACTTAAACTACACAAAAACTACGGTAACGCAATATGAATACACCCGAAAATCAAACCATTGCCTTTAATGCAACAACGAGCATTATCAAATTACAATTCGGAAACAGATTTCAAAACCACTTTGGCCAATAAATCATACGAACGTATAATTGACTCAACAAAAACCAGAGGACGTTTAATTTTCAAAAATTCTTACAAAACAGAAAGAGAGAAAGAGTACGAAGTAAGAATAGGCGAGGTCAACTTTGTGGGCAGCTCCAGTCGCCCGGATGTCACTCTCCAGCACGAAAGGCTCGTCGATGACGTGGATGATGCCATTGGTGCACTCGACGTCGGGCCTGAATACGTGGATCCAGTGGCCGTTCCACTCAACGTAGTAGTCTACGAAAGTAACAAATTAGTTTAATCTCCAATCTCGACGTAAATCGAATTTGAAATCCCAACATTATAAACGAAAACAGATAACAATGTAAATGAACCGCTAAAAGCTTACTCTTATCAGATTCCTTGACACGCAGCCGGAGTGGATCGCGTGAAGTCGGCAGAACGAAGGGATGTGTTTCGTTCGCGAGAAGTTTTAAATCAGATACAGTGTACGCGCGCCCGGCTCGGATAACATGTCGCTCTAAAATTTGTTTCGTCTGAAAAATGACAACAGAGATATAGTACTAATTAAGCACATACGATGAAGATTAACTTCAAAAAGATATTTTTTGTTTCGTCTAACTAATGATAATCTTCTGTTTATTTTTGGCCTCCAAAATTTAGATACCTTTTTAAACTATACAGAAGTTGCATCGGTTGGAAACAAGGGGTGGGAATGTCCAAATAAATAAAAAACAAAATAAACTTACGAAATAACCAAAGTCTTCCCTAAACAGCGATTTGAAGGCTGAAGGATGTTTGATTTGGAACTTCAACCAGGCGTGGTCACGAGGAACAAAGTATGTGTAGCGATGTTCCATATCATTTAGCTGCTGGTTGAACATCTGCCGCTTACCCAAGTTGTAGGTAATACTAAAACAAATAAACAAACATGTTTATCATAAGTTTTGTGACCCTTGTTCTTGGTAAACTTTTATCGCCATATTTCTGTATAAACTAAATATGATACAAGTGAGTGTTTTTGCTTACTTCAGCATTGGATCCGTTTTCAATTTCTCAAAGACTGTAGTGTAAGGAACTCCCAGTACTCTGTCGATGATATGTACAAAGCCGTTCGTCGCCGCAATGTTAGGAAGTGTGACGGTAGCATTCACGCCACCACCTTCAACGGTTAGGGTTTGATTCTGAGCACGCGTCAGAACATTGAAGTACAGGTACTTGCGAGGAGAAGCCGTTGGTGCTTGGTAGATCTAAAATGTTTGACAATTATTAGAAAAATGGCAGATTTCAATAGAGAGATCGCATTCGACACCCATGCTTTGATGCAGTTACAACAACATCTAAAGGGTTTACAAAAAGATTGCACATTCCTAGAAAATCTATCCTAAACGTCTAAAAGAAACTAAACACGGACATAGTAGGAATTATACAGTCATGCAACCACATTAACGACTGAAAATAAACAAGGATGTTGTAACATTTATTACAAAATAATAACACATATTCAATTTCATACAAATTAAATTAAAATAGTACGCCAGGATGTTAACGATAAAAACATTCGTGGCAATAATAATTATATTGAAAAATAATTAAAACATACAGTTCCCGGTAGCTGATTCCCAACAGCAGCAAGTAAACCAGAGAATTAAAACCAACATACGACATTAATTTTAATTGCAATTTAAATTTTATAATTCGCGGCAATTCCAGATCTCCATTCACAGTTGTGTATTCATTATTGAATATTTCAATGAAAGGACTTTTAAATTAAAATTTCAATATTTACCTGATTCATGTTGTTGTGAATGATTGCGTCCAACGGCAACCTCTCACGAACCAAATGCAAGTTCAGAATATCTCTCAGCTTTTGATGGTTCCTACGTAAACAAAATACAAATTTATTTTTGTGACGACGTCCCTTTGTGTTCATAAAATACAACATTTGAACCCGGTACAGCTCATCAAAGCCGAAAACATTATGGCAGCAATCACATCAACACAAAAAGCTCGTAAAAAATAAAATGAAGTAAATAACCTAATGATATTTTGCACGCTGAAGTCGGCCCACGCTTCATTTGAGGGCGCAAATAGAGTGATGTCTTTCGCCAAAGTGAGCTCGTTGAAGAACTGGTTGTTTGCTCCGAGATCCATGATTACTTCATAGAATTTACAAAGAGGTCCATCTTCTTTTTCCTGTTTGAACGAATCTTGTTTTAGTCTCCGAGGAAATAATACAACACCAAAACAATCTTGCTAATCTTTTATCCGAATGACTTTGTAAAGGCTTCCGAGAGGTTTTTAAAGGCGGCGTTTATCAAGTGGCCGTTGTAATTAATTTACGTACTGTTCTTTATAATGAAATGCGTAATTAACTTCACTCTTTCAGCTTTCAGTCGCTGAGGACTTTGTACAGCTAAATATTTGAGTCTATGTTTAAATACAGAGTGTTATTTACCTACCTCCACGGGTAATCCTTTAAAATGGTAATAAAAATCTACAAAACGAATTAGAAAGGTAGAAGGGAGAATGTATATAATATAAAAGAAGGGCGTATAAAGTGTTTAAGGTAAAGTAAGTCATGCGTATAAGGCGACAGTACTTACAATTCCCTAAGTTGTCAAGATCATGCAGGAGCAGCAGGATCCAACGGAGCGGGGATGCAAAAACAAAACAAGATAAAAAATATTCATTATATACCTACCTGCACTAAAGGGTTATATCGGTATATATGTTATAGGAAATATATTATGTATTAGTCTTTACGTTTACACAATACAATACGCAATTACATTAAATACTTCTATATCAACATCTACAATATTATTGTCAACTTTTTATACATTATACAATTCATTACTTTACTAAAACTGCGCAAACTAAATGACTTGGGTCCTATACTGTTGTCTAATGAACACTTTACTTACAACCTTGGGTCGGAGGCTACTGAACAATATAACAATACTATGGGATCAAATGAAGCTTACCAGACAATTACAAATACTTCAAAATAACGTTCGGTAGCACACACAAAAACGTTTAAGAACGTGCTCAAATTGATTATACCCTAAAATCTAAAAAAACGTAAAAGGTATAAATATAATAAAAAAATAAATTACACACAAAGAATATTGAATTAAAAAATAAGAAATAAATGAAACGCTTCATTTTACCTTCATAGCCTGGTTCCCATTAAAATGGAGCGGAAAGTCAATTATGTGATTGAAATTGTGTTTCTAATTAGCTTACAATATTAATTAAGTACAGCTGAAAATATTATGTAAAGTGGTGTGTTATTACGTATGAGTTAATTAGTGGTTCTAGTTAGTAGCCAAGAGGATAATGTAACTATCTTTATGTTCATTACTAGCTTGCTAGCTCTCTTCAACGGTTAGCTGTGACATAATGCTATCTTACTTCAATTTCAATTCCATCGTCGGAACTCATTTTATGTGAAAGCTAAAAGTAAGTTAGTATACGGTCAACCGCACGTCTATATCAATATAGATTATTGACGAAAAACACTCTTATTACTACGGAATAAAGAAGCTTTAAATATCAAAGACCACTCCTGGTTCTTTTGATAATGATAAATAAATGAATACTGCTGAATATACCTTATAAATTTTATTGGTACTTTGCTAGTGTGTTCAACTTATGATTATGATCGTTAATATAAGAATCTTTATGAAGACGTACGGTTGAATCAGCGAATGAATGCGTGTTAGCTATGTACTGTACAGTTACTACTAACCTTGAGGAAGTCGATGACGGTAGTGTCGACAACCATAAGAGGTCTCTGAATGAGATGAACGACTCCATTCTTGACAGGAATATTCGCTCTAACGATATCGGCGAGAACCACACCTCGAGCATGCTTCGCGTCTCCAGCGACGGTGTTTGATTTTACGTAGGCTAATAAAAATAAAAACTGTTTTACTACTTAACATAAATATTAGTTTTAAAACTTTCTTTACTTATGAACTTTTAGAGTACTTGTTTGGAGGAGTTGTCCAAATTTGTGATTCTGGAATTGGAAGGATATCCTAAAATATGATGATACTTATTAGAAATCAAAATCCACGACATAACGATATATTATATTGACAATAGGAAAATACAGATGCTAGAAAATACATCCCAAACTAAATAAATCATTTACAATCAGAAATCTGTCGATAGATCGTGCAAAATATTTTCCCAAGAGCGAACGAAATATTTTCAGCACACTTATCGCTCCAGTACACCATAGCAATCGTGAGGCCAATTATGTCGTTTCTATACACTTCAACATAATATGATATTTTCCTCATATACATAAATATATGAGTGTACTCCTCCAACATTTCTATTAGACAAGCAATTTTGTTGTCACTGGTATGTCAGTGGTGTGTCTCTGAATAATTGATACACTGCACAACACACGATGCACGCCTGTCAAAGTACCTCCCTACTGGTAACTATAATGTCTTCATTTTGACTGCATAATGGCTTTTAATGAAACTTTGAATGTTAGTTTTTTTTTTCAGGGAACAATGTATTGGGTTTTCTGCGAAATTCTGTGATAACATGATAGATACTCTCAATATTATGTCATTAATTTACACTCCCATTAAGCACTTTGTTTTATACATAAAATGGTTATTGTTTCAGGATACCCATAGACCACTCATTGTGTCTTTATAATATCATTCAATTCATATCAAATCATATAATTAAGGGTTAATAAGGTACTCACTGATTTCATCCTTTCCATTCATAACGGTCTTGAACGATATGATGACCTTGACATTGTCTCCGAATGCTAGCGTCTCAAATTCCTTAGCGTCTGGCGTGGCATGAGTGAACAACACATGATGAGGAATTACATGGCCATCTATAACCTTCTCGTCTATCAAATCGGATCTAGTTGTCGGCTAAAACAAAAATAAAACTGTATTTCTGTCCGAACATTTTAGCAATATATTTTTAGTAAGAAGATTTACCTTAAATCCTTCATCGACGGGGATAAAGAACGTGTGTCTCCCGTCGGAATCAAATACTTTGCTCTTTTTAAGCTGGTTCACTTTTTGCCTGAAAGACCTGCGAAAAAGCATCAAAATGTATTCTTGTCTCTCACTTTGTTTCTTCTTTTTGTCCTACTCGGTGAGAGTAATTAAAATCCTTGCTAAAATTAAAATAAACACAGAAATGTTGTAACAGAGTAAATTAAAAGTATCGTGCTTTATATTTTTCGTTTGGATTTTGGTATCTCTTTTATTATAATAAGTTATTTAACCAATGACTTATTTTTAAATGTTCACTATTATAAAATCAATCTATTATCACCAGCCTTGCCATATCATAAGCTTGACAAAACATAAAGTGTGAAATGAAACTATCCATTGCAGACAAGAAGAAAACAAGCAAGTGATATTTTGCAGTTTAACAATCCTCTGTATATTCAACACATTGAAATCGGAACATAACTTTGATCAACAAGAAATCGGTCACGGATTCTGAATTCCAAATAAATGTAATCTAGTACCGCGTTGGAATTCCTCGCGTGTTCCTTGTCGATTGCAGTACAGATAGTAACGAGTAGTCGAGTAATTGTGTTGTTTGTTTTGCGAACTCGACGTGCAAAAGTTCAATCCAACGATAATTTGGTTCGCCCCGAGTTTGGCGGTAATTGAAACGCTCGCAATGTTATTAACTTACGAACTTATACCTACTCATAATGAAGGCAGTTTTTCCAACATTTTCCTAGCACTCGTTGTGCAACATGTATTTAATATTTTAATGACAATTACGATGCAAACCAGGTCTGTGTTTTCGTTCATTAAATGGTAATTTTTGTTCGAATTAAACGCAGATTTTCGAGTTAACTTTCGACGAATTATTGTGTTATTAAAGGCTTTTTACTCTGATTTTTACGTTTCGTTGAATATGTTTTTGATGCATGCATATTCAGGAAGCAATTATGTGTTGTAATTCATTATAACTTGCAAGTTTATTAATTTCAAGAGTTCTCTGATATATAAACAAAATTATTTTCTTTTAGTACTAATACTCGGATACATGTGGTACAAGGCAGATTTGACGAAGACTCGAACTGGTGAGAAATGGCGAAATCGCGTAATCGAGGGCTAAAATCCGCTTAAAGTTGCTAAACCTATGAAGTAAGTACCTGAGCCGATGCTGCCCAATATTGAAGAGGTCGGAGTGTTCCAAAAAGTGGTAGGCATTGGGATTGTAGACTGGAGAACTGATGGAGCTAGAACCATGAGGCTGCAGCGGTAGTAGCACTTGATCAATAACGTGGAGTACCTGCAAGTATAATATATGTTTAGACCAGCGATGCTTTTGAAACTTGTTAACTACTACTTATAATTTTCATCAGAAGTTCTGGTGACAGTCCACTATAAGCATATGGATTTCTTTGACATATAAGGGTACATAATCTCTACGCTTCGTAAGCAGGTTGGATATCGCAACCTAATTTTTTATCGGCTGAAGATTATGATGATGATAATATAGCTAATTGGGAACTTACACTAGGTTTTTTGGAGTCATTGCTTATTTACAATACTACTTTCTATTTACTATAGTCAGGGATCTAAAAAGTAATCACAGTAATCCATATCCCAAGGTAAGCCCATAAATAAAAATTTTATACCAATCATTTTTGTGAAATAAATTGATTCGTAAATAAAAGAGAGAAAAAGATAATTATTATATCTTTAATATTTTTCAAATAATATACATGTCAAATAACTGTGAAAGTGATAGAAAAAAAAATAACGAAAAGGTTTCGACCATAGAGTATGTATTATCTATGTATTTTATAAACATATCAGCCTCATTGCGTCGAAACTACTTTGTTCACTCGAGTATGAAGAAAAATTGCTGAAGAAAAAGATAGTTTTTTGTTCTAAAGAAAAAGTTTTCTAGTGTTCTGGGGTCTTTGAGGCATTATTAGCCTTAATAAATAAAGTGACGGTAGCCCCTTCGATGCCGTGCCGAGTCCTCTTGACCTTTGGCCTCATTGTTGTTTCTTTGTCAAAATCCGTCGTCTAATTAGTCTAGGAGAAATTAAGGTTAGGCACTCTGTAGTTTTTATGTCGGCAATTTTCTTTATTTCTTTATTATCTGATTCAATTTCAAAGTTTTCTTTTTGTTTCAAGTAGTGTTATATATTTGTATGCCTACGTATGTTTGATGAAAAAAATATTGTTATAACTATAATATTGTGACTAAACATTAGATATCCACAATAAATGGGAAAATCTTACTTGAAGTTAATTTAATATTTATCTCTTTAAATAAATAAGTTAACAATGTATATGTGTATTTTTGTCAAATGAAACATCCTTGTTGTGGTAGGTTCAATTAATCTAATGTAAAGGTGCCCAAAACCGCCAGCGCTGGCTTAAAAAGTCCTCAAACAACATTAGACGGTGACGCAAAACTCTCGCCTGACGGGGTCCAATAAAAATATTTTTTTACCAGCAATCAGCCCAATGTTTTGGTTTCCGAATCAGGCAAGTAATCACATCGTTCAAGCTTGCTTGGGCTCAAAATGTACCATTTTATATTATTCGTATAAGAAACGTGCCAAAACTCTCCGGCGATATTGATCGTTGCGGACTTTTGGCACACAATACATGTAGCTGACTTACAAAATACTGCACTATTAGATTTTTCCCTAGTAATCCAGGTACTTTGAATTTCGATCTGTAGATTGTACATATGAATCAAAACGTCGACAACTTTTTCGACTTTTAACAGACTTTTGATTTTTATAATAAGTATCATGAGACATTCTAAATTAAATAAAAATCGGGTTACTCACGTGATTTTACTGAGAAAAGCTCTACTAGTTTCGAACCACAAAGGGGTTCTTCCTCATGAGTATCATGCGCGGTCGCGACGATGTCGTGCGGCCTACTCAGCGCGCGCGTAGTAGAGCTTTTCTCATTTTTATTCATTCTGATTTTTAGTTAATATAGACTTTTGATTTGTTTAAACATCGTTGTGGTGAGTCAATTCACGTCCAAAGGGAATAAATTGGAATAGCCGCGCTGTATTTGTACCACGAGTTTTGACATATACGACTATGCGTGTTGCGTGTTCGAACCCGATTTAAACGAAATGGACATAACTTTGAAGTATGTGGCAATACTTGCAATTTTCCCACAAAAATTAAAAACACCACTTTTTAAATTGATTTCATTGTTTTCTCTTAAAGTGGATGTAAGCTTGTATTAATTATTGCGTGTTCATTAAGGACGAAATACAAATAGTTGTCTTCCTAAAATAAAGCTTATAATAAGAAGATAATATCTTATATCTTCATTCTGTTCTGTGTATTCAAGAAACTTGGATTTGATTTCATTACAACTTCAGTGATTACATTATTTCAGTCATAACCCTAATCTGGGAGGATTGAACTAAGAAGTTGCTTAGTTAGTTTATTGAATTAAAGATAAAGCGAGTTATCAAAGTATCTTGTTGAATTAATAATCATTGTTTTATGTCTTAGTCCAAAGACACCTGGCGACAGTTCCAAATCCCAAGGGAATGTATTGGACATCCGTGACACAGTAAAGTAAATCCGGGCTTACTTATTTGGTAGAAAATCCTTGAAATTTTTATTATCTTGGGATCCTGCTGTTAAAATACTGGCTCGGTTTTTTGGGACACGCAATAAACATTGGGATGGAATAAAAATTGTATGTTTTATGAAGTACCTGCGTACTGGAACGGTCTAACTAGAGTAAGTTATGAAGCTCTTATTTTGATAAAAGAACTACAACTTCCAAATTCCATTTCAGTTAATGCCTCAATTTCAATAAATATTTAAGGTAATCCAGGTTACTCGAAAGAACTAAGCTACTAGTGAGGTTAGAACCTTGTCTATAAAATCTGGAATCCTAAGATCATCCTAGTAGATAGCTTGGAGAATTCTTATGTGCGTTCAAGCAAATACACTGTCTGGAATATGTACGGCATCACTCGTGCCTTGGTTTGCACGGTAGGGGGCGCACAACGGGAACATTTCCAAACGATGATCGCAATGCTTGTTCTGTGTGTGGAATACTAACATATTTAGGATATTTTAAACAAAGGCGAGGATTTCTAGGATAAATTCTATTATAAAATTAATTTCCCCACTGCTTTGAGCAAAAGATTTTCTTTAATGGATGTGATTCAAAACACATTTTGCATATACAAATCACATCTAGATTCAAGACAACTGTTTGCAGATAACACACATAGTGGTTCTATGAAATAGAATTGGAATGTGGAATTAGAACAGTCGCCCAACCATTTCGTTAACCGCATAGTTAATTCCTCACACCTAGATCCTGAACAACAATCTCTAAGATACACAGATATAGGTGTCAAGTGTTAAACAAATCCTACATAATTATGAACACAGTTAGTTAAGTTATTTGGTATCCAGATAATAAAAAAGAGATTAACACAGTTAATACAGGGACAGCACTTAACCATTGTCTTTGCACTGATTGAAGCTGTTTTCCTCACCTGGAGGCCAAATAAACAAGGCTAACTGTAGATATGTACTAACTAACTGTACATACATAGCGTACTATGCAGATTATGCAGTCATAAATTATAAATGAAAACTCTTACTTGTAACTTATTGTTCCTGTTCACAGCCTGGTAGGACCGGCTGACGTAGACCTTGGCATTGTTCACGTAAATGTCGTCATGCATCGAACCCCGCCGTGTCGTCACCCACAATGGAGGGTTCCCATCCAGATCCGTTGATATCGCATAGTCCATATTCGATAAAGTAGTCGCCAGATTTGCTGAAACAAAATCAATTTTAAGTCTTGTGTGCTAAGAACCAGTTTTGGGAACAGTTGCAGATAAAATCTTATAGGTTTGCTAGAATTTAGTACTTATCGCCTTCAAGGTTACTTTACCGGTCTGTTTATTACTTACTTGCTAAATGAAACCATGTAATATACCTTTTTACGTTAATTATACACGAAGCTACGACTTTTTACTATTTAGAACAGAAAATTCTCATTTTTTGGGAAAGTGGAAAATATGGGTAGGTACCATAAAAGGTGGTTTCCAATTGTATGCCATTGGTCCTTAACCGTTGGTCACTTTGGTTTGTATTTGTATTATGCTCAATCTATTACATCCTTTACATAATATTTTGTATCAGAGCATAGTGAAATATAAATGATGTACCTATCCTGTGAGCTTCCATGACATATTATCTTACTAAAGTCATACACAATGAGAAGATGTCACGGTACCTCATTCTTTTGTTACAAAAGTTTTACTCCAGAATATTGTACCGTGACTCAGGTCGCAAAATCTATTTATCTTCCTGATAAATGACAAAGCAACCCTATTATTAATATTTTATTCAAATAATGTGCGGGTGAAACCGCGTTTGACAGTTAGCTCGTTCCACGACTATTATAATCGGATTATGTCAGCCAATATTGAATTAGAACGGTGCCTTTATCAATCTGTGAAAGGGATAGACTTCAAATTATAAGTTTTATATGAATCTCATTTACACTTGATTTTACTGAATGTTCGAAACTTTCTAGTTAATCTGTGTAGGCGGTTCAATTTGTATTGTATTGATTTGTTCCATCACTAAGTACTAAGTTAATTTCATTGTTCGTACAACTTTGATTGTAGTATACTTATTATTAAATATTAGTTACAATTATAAACTTTGTTCTATTTTGAATGAAACCCTGAAAATACTTCATTACACCTAGGTTATGGACCCCATTGCTATTGTTTTCGACACTATGGTATTACTCGCACATGATAAAAAATTGTAATGGCATAACTGAAGTAAAAACATACAATTATCACGTGATTATTTGATGAAGGATCGTTTAAATACCATGTACAATTACAATCTCAAGTACAACTGCAGTTGACATAAAACAAAGTTGATATTCAAACAATAAGCAAAGCGGTGACTCGCAGGCTGGCGAGTTAAAATTAATGAATGCCTCGGTTCCCACGTAGACACAAGGTGAAAATCTAGCAGGATTGCTTTAATTTAGGAGTTGTCTGAACTAGCTTAGTTTAGTCTAAACTACAAGAAGGGGTGACTAATAGGATGAGTTCCGCAACTTTAGTCTTTGAGCTTGGGTAAAACAACACGTGACTTTGATGTGTACCGAAATACCGCCAGAATGTTTTATGCAGATGTATTATTACCTAAAATAACTGTCTCGTCCCTCTTTGTTGGAAGTTTGGGTGGAGTTTGTATGTTGTTTATATGTGTAACTATGTGGAGGTAATGTATAACTGAATATTATTTTGGTAGACGCAGTAAACTGTAAATATGGTGCTGCCACCTGGCATGAGATTGGCAATTTTGTTGTGATAATTTCACTAATGCACAACAATAGAAAAGCTGGAAAGATAACGGGCGAACATGGGGTTATACCGAAACCGGTTACTTGACATGAAGGCTGAAATCTGCCTCGTTGGCCGATTGGTCGTAAGTGCGACTGCCGGGCAAGGAGTCTCGGGTTCGATTCCCGGGTCGCGCAAAGTAGTACTGGGTTTTAAAAAAAATCTCAGTAGTAGCACGGAGTCTAGAATTGTGCCCGGTATATGGCAAAATGCTCACCCCCTATTACATGGGACTCATAATATAAATAGTGAAAAGTGGATGTTACATTGTACAGTGGCATTAAGTATTGTAACTTTCGTGAGACATACTAGATAAATTATTATATATTCGGCTTACTCACGTAGTAAACTAGTCGAGTTCCCCGTCGAATTACTACGTGAGTAAGCCAAAAACATAATAATTTATTTATTGGCATTAAGTGCCATAATGTGCACCTCTTCTTATCCCTTCGGGGATAAAAGACGTGATGTTATGTATGTATTTGTATATGTGCCGATTACTGGTCCCTGATTACTTCACCACTGTTCACTTACTTCCAACAATCCACACAAACCGCCCATACAAAAGATAAATGGACTATCTACGGACCACACGTCGTCAATACAAAGGCCTTACATACAGACATACAAACATTTACGGAACAAATAGCTGACATACCTATATGATAAAGTACGAGAGAGTCGTCCAATTCTCCGTTGAACCTCTGGAATGCCTCGTTGGTCGGAGCGAACAGAGTCATCTGCCGGTAATGTAGGGTAGTGTTCGCCACCACATTGCGTTCCAGCAGCGATAGAAACTGTGGACAATTGAAAATTTTCTATTAGTATTTGTTTTATATTAGTTTAGTTCGTAATGTTATTTTGCGTTCGCTAGAGGCGCTAGTGTAGCATATGATCTATTTACTCATAGAATGTCTGCTTATGTTAAACTTTTAGTTGGTAAACTATGAACTAGACTAGATCAATAAGACCATAGCAGCAAGGTTCAAAATATGATGATCACAAAATGGAATAAATAACGAATTATCTTCGTGAGAGATACTTCTCCTTCTCTTGTGCTTTTCAAAAGTGAAATTCAAACGTGTAACTGTCCAAAAGTGCGTGTCGATTAGTTTTGCTTTCACACACACTAAACCAAAACCACGATTGTATCATTGGTAGTAATCAGTTGGAACGGTCGTAGGTAATAGTTATTAAAAGTCGTGGATATAACTTGTATTATAAGACCACCTCAACAATAAGTAATAAAATGTCTCCAGCAATATAATATTCTTTTACGAACATTTATCGAACAAAACTAGGATTCTGACAAACTGTTTTATTGTTGTATTAAGCTGTGGTACATTGAATTGTCACAGTTCAGTGTTCTAACAATAAATATGTACTATAACTTGGTTTTTCTCCGTACCAACCACTTATAATGATCAATGTATGTTTTATGTTTGTAAAGATTTCATTGGCTTCTCGCTTCTGTCGTTTTTATTCGCAGAACATTTTACTATGAGTCCCTTTCAATAGAAGCCTTGTCGTTTATTTTTCACCAAGTCCCTATTGTAAGAATATGCTGGTGTATTGTACGAAATATTAGTAGTGTTTTTCCGTATTTATTGAGAGAACTTATTGTACTCGTTTAAGTTTTTCTCTAAGAGAATATGGACTGTTTATAAAATTGTTGTTTGAGTTGAACCTTGTTGGTCTTGTTATCACTTTTCAATAATTCTTAGTAGCACGGAGTCTGAACGTTTGTCTGGTATATATAATGACGAAATGTGAGTGGTACCTTTCTTGTACCTTCCTGAATACGTGTAAAAGGCCCGAAGAAAGTTATGATGGTGATTCAAGGTATTGTACATTTGCATTCACCATATATAATAGAGGAAGGCGTCGACACCCTTGTTTTAGTAGTTCGAAATTCTATCTACCGATATTCCCTATATTGATACGAAATACGAATATCGGATGGGTTTCTCCTAACACCACTGAGCTGAAGATAACTCGAATTTCAATCGTCTACGACATTATGTCACAAGACCACCGAGAAGCTTTGGTGTGCTTCTCTGGACATCGAAGTCCGAAATCTTAGCTGATACATATACCTAAGAACATACATCATAGTGATATTGTCAAATTCGCAATAATAAACTGTCTATTTTAACTTATTTATTTTCTTCTTTTGCGAGATAGTGGCCAAACGTCGGCCCGTAATTTTTAAAAAAAACTTATTAAAAACTAAAAGATTGTAACGATAATCCCATTTTAATATGATCGCTATGTACTATGCAGTGGAGAGGGCGCAAAGATATTTCTCCATTGCACAAGAAAATACCATTTAACTTAAAATGCGTTTATAATGTCTAGCATTTTGTGTGATCTGGAAAATTCTAAAATATCGATGCAATATCCTCCTGTAGGATATAAAGAAGATACTTTCAGAGCAGATATAACTTGCTGATTCTAATCGTTGCAGGCTTGGTTGTATGCGAAATTGATATTTTGAATAGATTTATCATTTTGGGTGCATTCAGATTTTGTGCCAACAAGTAAATTAAATAAAACTAATAAGATTTGGTAAAAAAAATTGGAGAGGATAAAAGCAATTCACCAAATTTGAACTTTTGGTTTTTTCCAAAGCTTTTTCTAAATGACAAGTCTCTGAATCTATCGAATACCCAACTATAAAACCTTTATAACAAAAAACACAGTTATAAAACCAGATCACGCGTATTGTGAAGAAAGTGAAACATTTCAAACAATATAATTCATACAAAGAAAACTCGGAAACGGTAATAGAAATCACGTCGTTCGTCGCAGCGTGCGTAGTCTACAACAATGGGTCCCTCGTGTGTATACCAACCTTTATGTTCACGTTCGAAGGTGAAACTAGGAAGCCATTGTTTTTACCTCATACAAATATAGCGTATAAGCGGATCAGAATATCGACGCGGATAATCTCTTGGCCCTCAAAATGTACTTGATATGCCACTTCACTTAAGGATTCTGTTACTTGTTAGGTAATATTCGTCTACTGAAAATGAGGTGAAGTTTTGTCGGTTGGTAAAATCAGACTTAATGTTTGAATAGCTGGAGATTGCTCTCTTAATGATCAAGAACGTCAAAATAGAAGAATGCATTAAAATACCAAGATTTCAGAGAGTATATAGTGAGTGTAGAGAATGTCTGAGCGACGTATAAAAATAGTGAACATTTTTAAAATGCAGCATTTTTACATCTTGTTACATTTTAAATCCGAATTTGTATAATTACATAATGGATTTCACCCAAAATATTCATTTAAATAATTAAGAGTGCACACATGGGAACTCCATTTATCTGCCTGCGATTGTTGAACGTGTTATAAAAATTAATACGCAGAGCTCCAAAGTGCACTCAAGTAGTGTCTGGCTCGAGTGCCTATGCATATTATAACATGTTTTATAGGTGCCAGAGATACGAAATAAAAGGAAAAACGCGAGTGCCAGACAAGTTGTAGCTCTATTCTGATATACGTAAGTATGTGATACACATCATATTTAAAAAGAAATACATAAAATGTGTTTTTTATAACATTGCCCCAACAGTGCATTTACAAACATACAATTTCATACACACAAACTGTAAAGGAGATACAGTGTACTCACCTTGTTTTAATACATCAAAACCTTTGAACCACGTCTGCTTTTTATTAATTTTTGATATCCATACTATCCTTATGATACAATATCCTACTATCTTTATTTATTTATTTATTTATTCATGTACAATACACAGAAGAAAAAAAAAAATATATATATAACAAAACAGAGGTACATAGGTACTGCATATCCCTTATGGGATTTCTTCCTGTAGCCCTGCGAGAGGAGAAATAAATAGACCATATAAGACAGTGTGTAACAACAAAAAACAAAACAAACAAACAAGAAGAAGACAGTGAAAACTTAAACTAATAATTAAAACTACTTACAGACTAACAAAAATAATACAATAAAAACATACAAAATAAATATAAATAAGTACTTATACATATACTTCCAACAAAATATAGAAATATAATAGATACACATTATTATACATACTATATGTAAATAATATATAATACTATATAATAAAATACATACAATATAACACAATCTGTACTTAAGAGGAAAGGTGATAATGTTCCCTCACACATTTCTTAAAGATTGATATAGATTTAGAGTCACGTATGTATATATCTTTATGATAGTATTCGGTAAAAAATATTGAATTTTAATCAAAATTTGAAATCGATAGAATAAATACCGAATTTTAAACTCGATAGTCTAACTACTTACTACTATTTTTGTTTGTGTTTAACATACTCTAAAGTGTAGATATTCAGGGCATTAGAATCAGTATTTCTAAGCTTATGTATCTACTCTAGTATTTGTAGTGCAATAAATATTTATTCGAAGACAGGCTCACAGCCGGGCTCGCAACCTGTCATTACGAATTCAGAGTTGCAATCTTTAAACCAATCCGTTGTTACTCGGAGCTGCGAGCTGTGAGACTGAGACTGTACGGAGGAGATTGTTATTATCACGATATTGGCTTGTAGATTGTTATCTGACTAATCTTTTGGGAAATGCATAGAAAAAAGTTTGGTTCATTATAGTGTTTGCTGCCCAGACTAGAAATATGGAGTTTCGGTATAATCACTACCAAATCGCCTCGTTGGCCGAATGCCGGGCGAGGGGTCTCAGGTTCGATTTCAGGGTCATGCTTTAATTCTCAGTAGTAGCACGGGGTCTGGAATTGTGCCCGGCAATAAGCTCACGCCCTATTACATGGTACTCATAACATAAATAGTGAAAAGTGAGTGATACATGATTCTACAGTGGTATTAAGTGCTCCCTTCAGCGATATTTGGTGTGGTGTTATAATATGTTATGAATAAAATTGTGCCCGATGATAGTATTCAGCAAAAATTGCTACTCTTTCTATCCCGGCTGGAGCTGAAGTTAAAAGACATCAGAGTTCTAAGACTTTAGTCAAATAAGACCGAAAGTTACAAAATTACTAACTTTTATAGTCAGCACACCGTCTAAGTAAACTGTGTCTATCTATAATCATGTGCATCTGACTAATTGATGCTTTAACAACAAGATTATTCACAAAAAGAAGTTTGTAGAAATGTGCGTACGAGTACTGGTACGTGTATCGGATAACGCGTTATCCGGTCTGGGATTACATCGAAACACAGACAGCATTATTACATAATGAGGTGCAGGAGTGTCTGCTAAGGTCGACACACAGATCTATATTTGGACACTAAGTGGGACAACTGTCTCAAAGCAGACCGTTATTTCCTTCACAGATTACCGTTTTAACCGTTCCTTTATTCTTTTTTCAAATAAAACGATAGAATCTAAAAATAAAAGTATATATTTTATTGTCTGCTAATGGTATCTTGACCCCGCAATTCCTTTTATTGGCTTTGTATCTTTTAACTGCTATTTTCCATTTTTAAAATAAGATTTGAAAAAGGAATTGATTGAATGACAGGAGGTAGCTTTTGTTGATCTGCATTTATTTTTTTCTTGATTATATCGATCGTTCTTTGAACTGTAGTTTTGTCGTAGATTTTCTTAATGTAAAAAGGTCACACGTACTAAATTATAGTATCAATATTATTTGTAGCCCTTTATTGGATGAAATTCAACAAATTGACAAACATTATGCCGATTATTTATGAAAGATTTATGAGAATTGCTGTTTCTGCTTGTGTTTTTGCTAACGTACTTTTATTTATTCCTGACCAAACGATTTCGATATCACAAATTCGATAGATAGAAAAAAGATAGGCTCAATACATAGAAGCGAAATTTTAACGTGGACATCCCTAATGTTCGGACTTTCTTGCTAACTTACCGAATCTCGTTAAAACTTTTAGCCTTTTTTATTTCAGCTACCAAGTTTTTTATTGGAGGAGACACAATAGACAATAAGGTAGTGAATAAATATCGATTCGACCTGTAAACTCTTACAAGGGACTTACATTACACTGCCAGTTTGAACGACTTTTTTCTTTTTATTTTCGTGATCGTTATTTTCAAATTGAGAATTCTGTCAACGTATTTTCTCTTTTAATATTTTATGAAGTTGTGTTTTATCCAATTTTAAGTAGCTCACGTAATAAATAAGTGCGCGTATTAAAAATATACAGAGTTTATTTATAGCTTTTAATACGTTATCAGTCACTATTACTCGATTTATTATTGCCGAATTTTTTTATGGACCAAAATGTTTTTGTGGCAAACAATATTAACCAGATAGACAATTGAATATATTTAAAATGATATAACATAACATCACGCCTTTTTATACCCGAAGGGGTAGGCAGAGGTGCACATTACGGCACTTAATGTCACTGTACAACGTAACACCCACTTTATGTTATAAGTCCCTTGTAATAGGGGGTGAGCTTACTGCCATATACCGGGCACATTTCTAGACTCCGGGCTACTACTGGGATTTTTTTCAAAACCTATCAGTAATACTTTGCCTGACCCGGGAATCGAACCCGAGACCTCTTGTATATAAAAATATGTAAAACTAACTGCTTATAAAGCGCCAGAAGTTTAGCGTATGTAGGTATTTCTTTAATCTAAATTATAACAGGCGAAAATTAAGTACTACCACACATCACTGGCTACCCGTTGAGTACTTGAAGAACAGTGTAATGTGAACACTAGACGGATAATGGTCCCAATCCTTTACACAAAATGTGTAACTGTAGTGACACGTATGCCATAAGGAAATAACCATAATTTTACCACACTCACAGAACTCCCCACAATTCTTTATACCACTATATTTTGTACACGAAAAACATGATACGATGAAATGGGAAACATGAAAATGTATTCAGCTGAAACCTGCTGAAACTAAATTATTTTATGGTAAACGAACTGACAGATTGACGTATTTAACAAGTTTGCTGTTTTTAAAGTTATCATCTTTTTTATTTATAAAAACAATGTTTTGTGTATCGCATACATATTGACAGATTGAAGCCAAAAATGTTATTAAATGGCATTCGGCTTTTGTAACATAGCGGAACAGACGTTTTAATTTATTGAACAAAAAAGCAATTTACAAGTTATGCATTTGTATGAAATTGTATTACTAGTGTACACAGACAACTGGCGAACGGACACTAACAAAAGATTCAATTTATTGCAAAGTGAGTCTCCATCGGCAGTTCAAATACGCCAATGAATACTAGCCATTTCGGAGTCTATTTCGCAAACAATGCGAAACGAACGCACGCACAGGTGTTCTCATGTACGCACATTGCATTAACAGTCGGGGGCTAAACCGTAATGCCCTCGAGACTATAATTTAAAATTCATGCAACTCCATTCCATAGAGAACCAATTAAAACTCTCATTAATAATGATCAGGATTAGCTGTTCCGCGCTGTTCTCATGATTGCATTCACAAATGAACGCAGCTGGATTTATTTCGTTCGCATTGTACGTAATACAACCGTTGAGGAATGAGGAGCAATCTACAGCGATACCGTCAGATTTTTCATTCGTTATTTTTTCAGCTGTCGCTTTTTATTCTTTGCTGAAAGAACAAAGGACATCCGTGTCAATTGGTCATTTCTGTTGGAAGTTCTACAGTCGGTTGCTTCGCAGTTGTGTCAGTTCTCTGAGTTTTTTAGTGATTCCAGTTTAGAAATGAATTCATAAGATATGTACATAGCGACGAGCAGTGCTGCGACTACTGAGCGAAATAGTTTTAAAATGTTCTGTAAATTGTGGCATGAATACAGTTTGAAAAAGTTTAAACGGGACTTTGTGCTTTCAATGCATTTTTTTCGAGTGGAATTGTTGCACCCGCAACGTTTGCCGTTTTGCTAGGCACAAAATAACTGATTGTATACGTCGACATCAGACAGGGTGAAACTACATCTAAAATCTGGAGCAAACAGAAAGCATAACGATGAACTGGTATCACGTAGCACAGATGGTGCCAGCAGGGCAAAGGATTGCTTGTACAGTTTTAACTAACGAATACATCTCCAATCGAAGCAAGAATAAACTGTTCCATTGACTGAGCGCCTCAGGGAACTCGGAGCTTCAATTTTTGTTCAGAGTCAGCTTACATCGACCTGTGAGGTTTGAGGATAGCAGATTACGTACTTTTGAACAGCGATATCTCATTCGTATTTTTCGAAGCATGCAGTGCAATAAAAATGCAATATCGATGTAGATAGATAGTTATATCTACCTATTAAGCGGAATACTGTATTAAATTACTACCTACCAAACTTGCTTCTGATGACCTTTTCCCCGAAAGTATCACAACGGAATATTACCCATTAGTTGACGTGAGAACACTGTAGGCGTTTACACGTGTACAGCCAACGAGGCGTACCTAAGTTAGACATTATTTATTTATTGTCTAAGGCTTCATAAGCAACAGTCTCAAACAAAACATCGTGACTGGGTTTCCAAATATTTTCATCAGTATCAAACCAGCGACATGTAATATTTACATCGAACATACGTACAATACATTTGTAAGCATACAGATTGTTACATTCTGAACTTTTCCCACACGCGCTCACGTCCTTATCTCGTGTTATGCATAATGTTCAACGCCAGGCAATAGTCCCAAAACCTCAGCAATTGAATTTTCTTCATCTATAAAATAAATTAAAACCGATTACGGTAAATAGTAATCTCTTCTCTTTCTAATTACAAAGAGCGAGAAATTAATCACAGTCTTAGATAAAGAGATCCTCAATCGCATTGATTTCTTTAGTAACATTCTCTGAATCCTTGACTAACCGCAAACTAATTGATTTTTGAAGGAACTTAAACGATTACACTTCGAATTCTTAGCGGTTGAAACATTTAGAATATTTTATTAATATAATAGCTGATGACTCATAAAATACGCTCGTGACTTTAAACGGAATGGATACAAATATTATCTCCACGATGGATGGGTCCATTGCCTATAAAATTAATATTAATATTTTATATGGGTCAACGTATCGGGGTTTTGGCAACGGAAAATAGGTTCGAAGTAGACTGGTTTGCAAAATAAGGGTAGGGTTAGAGTGGCGCCGGCGTGGCGGTGTTGGCGCCGACAAGATTTGCCAATGTATGGGGTGAGCCAGTGCCCTATTTGGGGGCGGTTTAATGACCCCATAGTTGCGAACTTTGGCATAAATTGGCTTGATTAGATCACGTGTTACCCGTAAATCAAATAAGCTTTTGCAAATAGGATCAATTCTAAAATTAGCGTAATCTGCATAGCTGACAACACGAACGAGTTGACTTGCAAATAGTTTATAGATAATAAACGACACCAGCGCCCTTAGCGCGTAGCGCGAAAATATTAAAAACGATGAAATTTTTAATAACATTTTACGAAAACGTTTTAAAAACGATGCGATGGGACGGAATCTTCAAAATTTATTTTTAAATACATTTTCAGTTGATTAAATCAATTTTCACGCTTATGAAAAATATTTTCGTGTAAACCTTCGCAAATATGTATTGCCAGCAGATGCGTGCGAAGACCATTATAAGCAGAAACACACGTAGCTTCATAAAACATAAAGAGAACCAATCTCCCAGGCAGTTCTGCAGTAATGTGCACCGTATTGTTATCTTGGGTCCTATTACGCGGTTAACTACAATTTTTATCAGTAGGTATATGCACATAACGTATTTATCAACGTGAGTGTGGTGTATGGGGGGAATTGTATGAAATGCTTTGTCTCGCTTCGGTAGACGTTTTTCGTGTAATTACTTCAGAAATCCCGACGCCTGTTCGTGTTGACATGACAGCCGGGTTTAATACGACACTCATCCGCAAAGCTCATAACGATGGAGTACATGAGAGATTTTCAAAGGGAATTTTATAAAGGTGTGCGGTGTAAGTAGGTTGTGCTCACTGGTTTCTTTTTATGACGGCTGGATTTTTTAAAAACAAGGGGTTCATATCTTTTTTATTTTTTCTATGTTATTCTGCTTCGGTGGTCGAGTGGTTGCCAGTGCGATTATGGTGTTGTACAAGAGCCGTCGAGATCGACACCTAGGTCGTGTCAAGTATTTTTTGGATGTTTCGGTTCAGAAATTTTCAGTCATAGCCTTCTATCTAGTCTAGAATTCTGTGTGTTTAACATTAAGCTGTTCCTTTATTAACATGGACCACTACCTGTGGAAAGTGGTTGATATTCATATGCGTTTCAAACTATCAACTTACTAAAAACAATTATCTCATCATCAAATTGTCATCATCACCATACAATTTAACTTCAAATATAATATTCCAACCAACTCAAACGGAACTTAATCAACCTTAGACAAATGTAGCAACTAGAATATTGATTGCTAATACTAATTCAGTGCAACAAATTCTGTTCAAACACTGAGTGGTTCTTAAGTTGGTCCGGCACCAGACCAAACGTTAGTGGCTTCCCCAAGTTATCACTTAGTTATCGGACCGGCTTTTGAATTGAATATCATAGTGAATTTGTAAGATGTTTGAAATTCAGTTATTGCTTTATTGGTCATGTTTTACGGGTGATTGCTGTGATGTGTTTGAGTGAATAAGGTAAACATTTTTGTCAACAAGCTACTACAAAAAATATCTTGAGCATCAAATCATGTCCAGTATTTTAAAATTAACATTTGCTACAATCCACAAACTTCGGAAAAATAACGTCAGCGCATAATTATTCTTTGCGCTTGCATTTCCATTAGAAACTGCAAAATGAGACCAAAAAAATTCAAATTCCGTCCACACTATTTAACTTGAAGTGAGTGAAATTCACGTAATGCAGGAGCACAGTCTAGACGAAATCTCTTTGCTTAAAAACATGGAAGCTCGTTCATTTAACGAAGAGAGCCGAGCATCCACGACCATGACCGAACACGAAGTGCTAATTCACCACTTGCAAATTATCGCTGCCATAAATTTTCACAAAGACAATGTCTTTGTGTCCTCTCACTGTGAATAACATCTCACCTTATATTTCCCAGAGGAGTATCTAGAGGTGCACGTAGTAAATACAGCACCCACATTTGGCAGTAATGAGTCCCATGTGTGTGATAAAATACAGTCGTATAGCTACATAGCGGACACAGATCCAAACTCCAAAAGCAATACTCAATACACCCAATAATTTCTGAGATTATAAAAGTTGGAAATATCAATCAATTATATACATTGTCATATCAGTGAGCTGCGCGACGTCGCCGCGCCCTCGCACGCTGCTCATGAGGAAGAACTCCTCTGTGGTTCTAAACTAGTAGAGCTTTTCTCAGTATATTTACGTGAGTAACCCGCGATTTTAGTTAATTTAGTATGTCTCACGATAGTTATTATAAAAACATTGTCATATTCTGCTATATTTGCCACAT